TCCTTTTCATTTTAATGGTGTTGAATAACGATAAAGAGCTTAGCCAGTGTCTTGGGTCTTTTTTCTGTGCACAAGCTCACCTTTAAACACCAATGAAAGCTGACATGGTGTAGTCTCCCTTAATGTACATGCTTACTAATCCTTAAAAAAGAACAGTAAAGCATCAAAATATAACAAGAATATTTCTGTATGTAGCTGCGTATAAAGGAGTTCCCCAAGATTTTGGAGTGAAGGCACCACAAGTCATTAGTACATAAGCAACACTTACTTCAATGGGGAAAATTCTCCTTTGCTTTGTAGCTTCTGTTAGAAGATTTGGATCCAGACGTGCAGCAAACCCTCGACAGTGACTCTGACAGTGGCCAGGGCAGCTGTGAAGCAGCCTCTCCAGGTGGCATCAGCAAGGGGATGGCAGCTCTTGAGGACAGAGGTCTGTAAGGGTGGGGGTTGCTGCATTTGGGGGTGCAGTTTGTGTTTTATAAATACCTTTCCAGGAACTTGTTGCTGCTTGACCTGTAGGAATCCAAACTGCTGGGCTTGCTGCTCAGAATGTGGGCAGACATCCTTAAATCTCTGAAAAATGAATTCTGAAATACAGGAAGGGAGATGGTGAATGGGGTGTGAGTGTCTTAATTGCTTCTTTCCTTTTGTGGTACTCTTCATCTATGTGCTTGATTGCTTAGTGTGGGTTTTATCACTCTCTCAGGGCAAGTCACTGGCCTATCAGTGAAGGGTTTTCAACTTTGCTCTTTTGTTTTTGTAGGTTAAAAACCTACAACATAAACTTGATTCACTTAAACTGCTCCACAGGGAGAAGTGGGTTCTGCAAATTTGAGTTGCAGCTGATTTCCTACAGATGTTGGCATCTGTGAAGTGTAGCAGATCTGTAACTTTAACTGACTTTTTGTTAATTAACTGGTGGTGTTTTCCTTGCCATAACATTCAGTGCTTCTCTTCCTATATCTTGTCAGATTCAGAGGAAGAGTTTTTTGTACGTAAAAAAGCAAAAAGCAAGAAGATTCTTCAGGACAGTGAGAGTGAAGATGGAGAAGATGGTGACTCTTTTGTGCAGGGTGATGGTCTGGGTGAAGACAAGGAAAATGAAGAGGAGAAAGGGAATGGGATTGTCCAGAGGAACAAAAAGTCTCATTGGATTCGTCAGGGTCTGCCAGACAGTGAGGACAGTGACAGTGGTGACCAACTGCAGGGTGAAAAGCTTGAAGCAAGCAGAAGGCCTGGCCTGCCTGACAATGAATTGGAAGAGGAGAAACCCCTAAAATCTGGGAAAAAGTACAGAAAGCACAAACAACATAAACAGGATTCTGAACAAGAGACAGAAGAAAAAGCTGGAGGAAAATCAAGAAGAAGAAAGGAGAAGGAGAAGAGAATGGAGACCCTCAAACAGCTGAAAAAAGAAAAGAAGCCTCGAGCAAAGGTATTTATTTTGGCAGAAAATCCCAGATGTTTTCTCAGCTAAGTCAAATTTATTCCTGCATCTGGTTATTGGGTTTCAATGCTTTGGCATCACTGGTGTCCCCATTCCTGAAAATCCACAGCAAGCCATGGAACACCAGTTTCAGCTGCACAGTACAAACCCTAATGCCTGATGATGAACAGCAGTGCATTTCTTTGAGGTCTTTGGGGGTTTATTACATGCATAAATAGCTCTGATGGGTAGTTCAGCTTTTTTCTCTCTTGCTAGCTTCTGGAGGAAGCTTTGGGCTGCTGTCAGGTTGGAATTCTAGGCTAAAGAAATGGCTGCTTGGGAGGGTGCCCATTGTTGCTGTTTGTAAAGTGCATATTTCAAGTGTTCATTGCTTCTCCCTGAGCCATTTTGGTTTTCAGTGATGACTGACATTCCCTGCTTACAGACCCAGGGGCACTGCTCCAGGAATGTGCTGTGAAGTGAGTGTGACTGGCTCACAGGACACAGATGCTGGGTTAAAGATGGCATTTACCTTTTCTGACCTCTTTCCTCAAGAGTTTTTGGCAGTAATCTTAATGCCAAAGAACTGGAGGGGGCTGTGTGAAGGGAACTGCACAAATGCTCTGTTCTTCTGGCAGCAGGTGGATGGTGGGGAGCAGTATCCTTTTAATGACAGTGGATGTCTTCTGGATGACAAAGAACTGTTTGATAATGGCCTAGAAGAAGAAGATGGTTGTGGCCCAGAGGATGAAGAGTCGATAGAATCGATACGAGCCTCGGTGAAAAACAAAATTAAAAAACACAAGGTAAGACTGGACAGCAACAGAAGGTTCCTGGTGAGTGGGGAGTGTTGTACCCAAGCATGTGCTGGCACTTCCTGGCAGTGGTGGAGTTCTACTGCTATGAGAGAGGAGAGAATAGTCCTGCTTTTTGTTCTTAAAGGTGGAGGGATGTTGTCCTGGAAAGTTACAAAGATAATGCTGTAGCAGGAGCTCTGGAAATCTCCTGCAAGTGTTGTGCAGGATTTGTGTAGCTTTATGGGAATAATTGCTGGTTTTCCTCACCAATGAGTCTGTACAATTATTTTTTCACTTGTTTGCCCTTGGTAGTGTCTGTGTATCTAGACAAATAATTTAATCTGTTTATGCACTGTAGACCAAAGAACAGTTTGAGAGTGAAGGCTACAAACATGTCTTTGAGGAGGAGGAGGAGGAGCCTGTACTAAAAGAACCAAAAAGGAAGGTGAGGTGTTCTTCTTTTTAAAGCTCTCCATTGTCTGTTCTAGTGACTCAAATATTTTCTATATGCACACTGTCCAATGTTTTTGTTGATCTGCTATTTCTAGTATTTTCTTTTAACTGGCTGCCTTATTCTGTGTTCTAGTTACTCGAATGTTTTCTATATTTCTATATAGAATGATTTCTATATGCACTGTCCAATGTTTTTGTTGATCTGCTATTTCTAATATTTTCTTTTAACTGGCTGCTTTATTCTGACTTTCTGCTTGAAAGGGGAAAATAAGCTTTTTAGAATGTATAGATAGAGTCCCATATTTTGTTTTCTGACTTCAGGATTCTTTCTTTTCTTTCCTTAAGGAGAGGAAAGCAGCAAGGTTAAGTAAAGAAGCCATTAAACAACTACACAGTGAGAGCCAAAGACTTATTAGAGGTAAAACTTAAATTCTTTCTATGTAGAGGGGTATAAACTATTAAGAAACTCAGGGGATAAATTGAATTTACCCAAAAGATTTGAGCCTTCTTTCACCTAGTGTGAGTTAAAGTTGAAGATGGTTCAAGACCATTTCCATTCAAGGACCTGTTAAAAGATATCTTTGTAACTAATGAAGACAAATCACTGTGCAAACACTTCAGCCTGTAAACTTGTGTGTAAAGCTAGTGAATATTCAGAGAGTTGGATAGGCCTGTAATAAAACTGGAACTGGTCCTGCCATTCTGATATCAACATCACAGTTCATTTCTTAATGAATCCAGGGACCTGTTGAAGATTTGGTCTTCAACACTGTTGCTGTTGGGAACTTTCCCAAACAGCAGCATTTGCTGTACTTGAGTTTGAACTGTGCTGTCTGTGCCTAGTCAGATGTCTTTGCAGAATACTTGTCAAGCCTCTTTGAATTTCAGAGATGTCATCTGAGGCATTTATTTGATGTTTTAAATTGTCTTTCACTTCTTTCCCTGCTAGAGTCATCTGTGTCTCTCCCATATCATGTGCCTGAGGCCAAGAGCATTCATGACTTCTTTAAGAGGAGACCTCGACCAGTATGCCAAGGAAGTGCCATGGCACTGCTGAAGTAAGGGCCTGAACCTTCCTCACTGTTTTTCCATAAATTTTGAGGCTATCCCAGCTTTGGTTTTGAGCATAACCAGACTTTCACATGCTAAAGGCATTGCATGATGTGCACACCTGCTCTCTGTACAGTCACAGCTTCTTTGTGTGTTTAATTTTAGCTGTTGTTTGGACTGTAAAGTTTTAGGAAGGAACTTTGTTAGGCTCCTTTATTTCTGTGAACACCTGGAAGTGAGGAGCATGTCATTGTTAACATAAAGCAACACTGCTTGATACAGTTGTATTACTGAAATAATCAGGGCCTGGTAGTAACTCCAGATGAAGTAATGTGCTCCTGCTGAGTTACTTCAGTGTGATTTACAGTGGACCTCAACATTTTACTTTGACTTTCCTTATCTCCTCAGAATGAAGCTTTCCAAACTTCTGTCCCTCACCTCTTCCTACACGTTCATGATAATTAGAAAATTCTTTTTCTCTGAGTTTGTTCTCAGCCTCTTCTCCCCTTTCACAAGAGCCATGGGTGATATTTCTTTCTGCCTCCATTAGGTCCACTAAATACCAGCTTCCCCTAACTGAAGAATCTGCAGACCCCAAGAACTTGAGCACGGGTTGCAAGGATGGGCAAACAGAAGGTGATCAATCAGCAGCTAATGAACCAGAACCAAGCCTTGGCAGAGACATTGATGCTGCTGTGAACAAGCCTCTTGCTGATGTAGAGAAGAACTTGTCAGAAGAAGGTGCTGATTAGCTGAGGCAGGACAGTGATGATTCTCATACAGCTGGGACTGGAACTACTGGTGATACAGAACAGCAGCACTCCAACTTCCTAAGCACTGAACAAAAAGAGAATGACATTTCTCTGGCAGTTGGAGGAGATGCCCTTGAGCAAAGAGGAGAAACAGCACCAGACTTACAATGTGACAAAATCAGTCAACAAGTGGGGCCTGGATCAGTGGCACAACCTGGAAAAGGGAGGAAATCCAAGCTGGATAAGCTCCGTGAGCTGGGAATAGACCTGTCCATCAAGCCAAGGATCTGCTCTGGCAATGAAGCCTTTATAAACCTCGATGAGTCTGATGCAAATAAAGGTATTGCTTTTGTTGTAAGCCTGTCTCTTCTCTCCATGTAATTAGTTAGTCTGACTTGAGCTGGAAAATCTCTGAGGAAGGTGCTGATAGTAGAACAGTCAGGCAGGTTCCCTTGCTGGTATGGATTCTTTGCTCAATGTTGGTGTCCCTTTCAGCTGATGTTTAAAAGGAAATTCTGAGTCCTTTGTGTTGGAGAGCCTGAAGGAGAGCTCAGTGATCCCCCTTTAAAGATGAATATTTTGTATTAATTTTGCTTTAGAGAGTTGTGTTGGTACTTAAAACATGTGGGAGCACCCCTTCAAACTGATTCAAAAATATTATCTAATAGCAGTTAAGGACAAGTTAGAGCAAAAATATTCTGTAATGGTTTGTTTTATTAGGCAAATAGAATGAGTTTGCAAATGTTGAAATATTAAAGGTTTAGAGTTTAAATGACTTCCTTGAAAAAATAATCTCAAGACCTGCTGTGGATAAAACTTTTAACACTCTGCTTTAAAATGCTATCAAATTAAAATTGCATTTTGAAATGTAATTACTGTGTATTTAAAGAACTGGAAGCCTTGAAAGCACGTTTCCTGAAGCACACTCTGAAAACATCAAAAGCCAAAGCTGAACGGACCATAAACATGAACATTATCCGTAAGGAGACTACATCTGAAGGGAAGGAGGAGCTGAAAGCAGATGTGGTACCAGCAGTGTTGGCTGCAGAGAGCCTGGAGGAAGCAGTCCACACAAAGCCAGGTCGGTTTGGGAGAAGTGGTGATGGTTTGAGTTTGAAAAGAGACTTTTTTTCCTCTCTCATCTGCCCTTTTCCAGTGCTGCTCTGTGAAATAGAGGGAATCTCATGAAGGGATGAAGGGATCTCATCTGTGAAATTGGTGCCTGTGTTCCATCTAATGGGCAGCCATGTTTTAAAAAGAGAATCTTGACAGTCCTTTTGGATAGCACTTGCCAGTGTAGGACAGCCTGAGTCAGATCTTTGCAACTGGCTCTCTGGATTTCTCCTGATTTTACCATACCAACATTTTATATGTAAACACACCCAGGCTGTGGTTTTCCTGCAGCCCTCTGAATGTCACTCAGACTCTTGTGGACTGTTACCATTTGCTAGATCTCTCACACTTCCTTATTTCTACCCTGTGGTTTCTAATGGAGCTGTATGTGTGTGCAAACAGAAACACATGTGGGATGTGACCTGCCCTTGTATCCACTGAAAGAAATAGATTATTTGGTTCTATGGGCATGTGTTATTTTCAGCTGCTCTTCATTGTTTCATGTGCTGGAGCACATCTGCTCATGGCAATGGGATGCTCTCCTCTCCCTCAGAGTGCAGTGCTGGTGGTGTTGGTGGGTAAAGAGGAATGGTGGCAGTTCCTCAGGTTGTGGTGTCTTTTTGAGCTCAGTGGAACTGCTCTGCCTGGCAGATCGAGTCACAGGAACACTGAAAACAGAGTGTGTTTTTGAATTCCTTTTTGTGTGTGTGGTTATTAGGTTGGAAGCTTGAAGGCAGTGAGGTTGAGGGTTTGCTGTAGAACACCTGCTATGCTAATTTGCTGCTCTCTGTGCAGGGGAGAAGCTGCAGGTGCTGAAGGCCAGGCTGCAGGAGGCCATGAAGCTCCGCAGGACCGAGGAGCGGCAGAAGCGGCAGGCGCTCTTTAAACTGGACAACGAGGACGTGGAGGAGGAAGAGGAGGAGGAGGAGGAAGAGATGACAGATGAATCTGAGGAAGAGGAAGAAGGCGATCTCGAGGTCTGTATGCAACATTTTTACATAACCTAGTCAGCTTCTCAGTTCTGCTACCTCTCCCCAATGAAATGACTTTCGCACACTATTAATATTAGGGAGGTTGCCAAGAATTCTTCCTAAAAGCTGAAAAGTTTCCCCAGTTGGCATGTTCAGGCTTTGGATTGCCTAAAGCTGAGTTTTTTTGTATTTTATTCTGTTTGTCTAAACAGCATTAAAACCAAATCTAACAGTATAAAATATTCTGATGCCATTTTTCTCTTTCTATATATCCTCTGCTCATTGCCAGCAGGGGACAAACTGAGGTCACCTGCAAGATCTGGGGTAGGGTTTGCTGTGACCTCCCCTTTTTAAAAAGGATCAGAACAGCTTGGCTCTTTTGGGCAGCCCTGTCACTTGTCTCAGTGGGATAGGTGCATGTAAGAACTGTGAATGTTCCTTGGCTTCATCTTCCCTGGGTTAAAACGTGCTCTGGAAGAGCATGCAGGGAAGCTGGGAGTTCAGGGCATTAATCACCACTGCTCAGCTCTGTTTGGGGATGGTTTTTAGAATGCAGGATTTCTGCTTGGCGAAGCAGAGGAGGAGGAGGATGAAGATCCAGAAGAGAAACATGTTGAAGATGGTGGTAAAGAAACCGACAAAGAATCTGTGGATGAAGAAAAGCTGGAGAAATCTGTGCACTGTGATTCTGTTCCCAAACCACTTTCCACAGAGTCTACACTGATGCTTTTTAAGGACAGCTGCTCAAAAATGGGGTAAATAAACCATGCTTTAAAAGTGATGCCTGAGCCATTTCAGATTTGATCAGTACATGTAGGTGTTTTGAAGTACTTCTTTAGAAGTATTTTTTTCTGTGTTCCAGTAGTTATAAGTGCCTTCATACATAATTTCTTAGTGACTGTAATTATGTAGTGGAATAATCTTTCTTAATCAAAGGGTATGAGATTGTATTTCTGTGTGTTACCTTCTCTTGCCATTGGATTTGACAGACAGTAGCAATTCATTTTGTATATATCAGCAAATACCTTTTATTTAATAATTTGCAGATATTCTCTTCCTGATGAGAAACTTGAAATAGAAGAAGCTGCAGACAAAGGACCTACCAAGTTAGGTACAGTAGAACCATTATTGTAGCTAATGTTTTTTTTACATATAGAAGTTTCTATTTGAGATTAGTATTAAATATTTTATTTCATCACCTGTATAATTATACAGTATAGTTATAAAAGTTTAGACTGAAAAAAAAGGGAGGGCTTGAAAAACCAGAGGAAGATGAAGTTCAGAATACTGGAAAAAATATAGATTTATAGAAAACAGAAATGAATGAGGAGATTTTTAGTAAAAAGGTGGTTTTGTTTTTTCAGAGGATGAGGATTCCTTCTCCTTGCCAACACTGGGGAAGGAGAACAGCCACAACAGCAGCTTTGAGCTGATTGGCTCCATGATCCCCTCATATCAGCCCTGCAACAAACAGGCCTCACGTGGAGGGAACTTATCTGCAGCAGGAGACTTCAGGTCACCTTCCCCAGGTTTTTTCAAAACAAGCTTTATCAGCTCTGCTTCCAAGGTGAGGTTCTCAGTCCTCTTCCTCTTGTATATTAACCCAGCGGGCAGTGAATGAATGTTTCATCCTCACTGTCAGATCTATCAAAAAAATAATACCAGAAAGGATCAACTATCCAAATGCTTTCATATGAGTGAGATTTCAGGACAGCAAACTGTCCCAGGAGTTTAAAATGTCTTTGAATTGGAATAGATAAAAATTGTGTTATAAAATCTTATATTCTAAAATATCAAAGAAAAGTTGGTACAGTCTGATTTTATATCTAAAATATGTACATGATAAATATTTTTCTAAGCATACTTACCTGGGCTACACAACATCTGATGTATCTGATGTTTGGTGAACTCTTATGGTTTATCAGAGCAGTGTGGATGTTCTTGAAATGGTGTTAATCCTTTAAAATAGTTTAAGTTTTATCCCATTCTCCATTTTGAATTCTAGACTTGCAAAACAAATAACTTTTTGTATTTTTGTATTCCTTTGACTAGAGCTCTGGAAAGATTTCTGAGCCTTCTCTTCCCATAGAAGATTCCCAGGACATGTACAATGCCTCTCCTGAGCCTAAGAGTTTATTCCCAGGTGCTGGGGAGTCACAGTTTCGATTTTCTCTGGAAGATGACACTCAGAGCCAGCTGCTTGATGCAGATGGGTAAGTAATGGGTGTAAAGGATGGTGGTTTGTGCCCTTTAACAGCAAGAGGACATACAGACCAGCAAGTTTTCTAACTGCAGACTTTCTTTCAGGTTCTTGAACGTTGGACAGCACAGGAATAAATACCAGTCCTCAAAGCATCAGCTGTCCCTGGCCAGCATGGATGAGAACGCCATGGACGCCAACATGGGCGAGTTACTGGACCTGTGTTCTGGGCAGTTCAGCAGCCAGGCTGGAAGTGTTCCAAATCCCAGCAGCAGCAAAAAGCAGAACATGGAAGAATTGCTCAATCTTTGCTCAGGAAAATTCGTATCTCAGAGTATGTCCTGAATTCTGTGTTTAGCTTTGCTGGTCACTTGGTTTATAAGCTTTATGCTGAAGTAGCTTTTAGTTCTGGGCACTAATGCAGAATGTGGGACTACTGAGAGCTCTGACAGTTTGTCACCTTTGTGGGACCATGCTAACTATCCTTTCCCTCATGCTCTCTGACACTTTAAGAGTACAAATATATCAGTCTAATTTGCCATCTTACTGGTTTTTTTTGTAGCAGGTTCTCCAACATGGGCATCTTCATCTTCCAAAGCAGAAAAAGACAGTGACATGGAAGATCCAATGGCAGAGGCTCTAGCACTGTGTTCAGGCTCCTTTCCCACAGACAGGTTAGCATTGATCTTACTAAAATTCACAAAACTATAGTGGTAGTTGTCTTGTTTCAATCTTAATGTGTTTTCTTGTTGGACATCAATTCAAAATGCTGTAAGCAAGCATGG